TTTGTTCAGCACCCGCCACATTCCAACAGATGATGGACACAGTGCTTTGTGGTCTTAAATGGCAGTCATGTCTGGTTTATCTCGACGATGTTGTAGTTTTCTCTGCTACCTTTGAGCAACATTTGGAAAGGCTCCGGGCCGTGCTCACTGCGATCAAATCAGCGGACTTGACCGATAAAACCGCAGAAATGTCATTTCGGCTTCCGTGAGCTCCTTTTTTCTCGGCCATGTCATCAGTGCAGAAGGCGTCCACCCAGACCCTGCAAAAACTGAGGCCGTAGCAAGATTTCCGAAGCCAAGAGACAAAAAGGCTGTTAGGCGATTTTTAGGTCTCCTGCGCCTATTATCGACGGTTCGTTAAAAATTTTTCACGAATTGCTGAACCACTGACACGGCTGACAAAAGAGCAAATGCCTTTCTTATGGCTTGCCGAACAAGAGGATGCCTTCAATGAACTACGAAAGTGCCTTCAAAGCCATCCTGTTCTGGCGCATTTTGACGAGGAAGCGGAAACCGATATCCACACGGATGCAAGCAATTTAGGTTTTAGGGCCGTGCTCAACCAATGGCAAAGCGGACAAGAACGAGTCATTGCGTATGCCAGTCGCACTTTTTCGAAAGCTGAGGTGAACTACTCAGCGACCGAGAAAGAATGCCTTGCCGTGGTATCGGCTATCAGCAAGTTTCGACCATATTTATATGGTAGGCCTTTTCGAGTTATAAGCGACCATCATTCGCTATGCTGGCTGGTTAATCTCAAGGACCCATGTGGACGGCTTGCACGATGGAGCTTGCGATTACAGGAGTATGATATCACGCTTGTGTACAAGTCAGGTCGCAAGCACAGTGATGCGGACTGCTCGTCACGTGCTCCGATTCAACCTGCTGCTTCTGCTTCCACCGAGGATGGTGAAGATTTTATTTTCTTGGGAGCTGTGACACCATCAGAGATGGCACATCAGCAGCGATCCGACCCTGAGATACTCCTCTTGATCGAGTACCTACAAGGACAGCTAGTCTGTCGATGTTCCACGACCTTTTGTCCGCGCCTTGTCAGCGTTTGTCCAACAAAACAACATCCTGTATAAAAGGAACTTTGACAACAATACAGCGACATTCCTGCTTGTCGTCCCTTCACCTCTGCGACCAGAGATTTTGGAGGCTTGCCACGACGATCCATCAGCTGGGCACTTAGGAGTAAGCAGAACGTCAGCACGCATCCGCACTAAATACTACTGGCCGAAGTTGCTTAGCTCTGTACGACACTATGTCAGAACCTGCCGGGACTGCCAAAGACGTAAAACGCCACCGCTAAAACCAGCAGGTCTCCTTCAACCGATAGAACCACCAGAAGCCCCATTCACACATGTGGGAATGGACTTACTGGGCCCATTTCCTACGTCGTCATCGGGAAAACGGTGGATAATAGTTGCGACCGACTATTTAACCAGATATGCCGAGACAGCGACTCTAGTTAAAGGATCAGCCGTTGAAGTAGCCGAATTCTTCGTCTCCAACATAGTACTGCGGCACAGAGCTCCAAAAGCGTTGATCACAAACCGAGGGATTGCATTTACGGCCGACCTGATGAAATGTATCATGAAATTGAGGCACACCAGTCATAGAAAAACGACGGCATATCATCCTCAAGCAAATGGTCTAACGGAACGACTGAACAGAACGCTGGCTGATATGTTGTCAATGTACGTTGACATAGAACACCGTACTTGGGATAAAATATTACCCTATGCAACATTCGCCTATAACACTGCGATGCAAGAGACAACACAGATGACGCCATTCCAACTTGTTTTTGGCCGGACGGTAACGACACCCTTAGATGCAATGTTACCTATTGACGAGACGCCCGAGAATTACTATGACGTTCACGACTACATACAAAGAGCAGAAGAAGCTAGACAGCTGGAACGATATCGCATTCTCCAACAGCAGAAAACCGACACGCATCGATACAATCTGCGAAGAAGAGACGTCCAGTACGCACCAGGAGACAGAGTATGGGTGTGCATTCCTGTACGAATACGTGGCCTGTCAGAAAAACTGCTTCGCCGCTATTTCGGTCCGTACAGAGTGCTCCACCGCGTCGGCTCGCTCAACTACGAAGTTATGCTAGAGGGACAGGATATTTCATCCCGACGGCGGCATCGCACGGAAACTGTGCATGTCGTCAGGATGAAACCATATCACGACAGACAATGAAACGCTGAAGATACAACGTTCTTTGACGTTAACGACATCCCCGACGAGGGTTTGTGACTGACTGCCATGCAACCAGTTTGACACAAGCATCGGGACGATGCACTCTGGAAAGGGGGGAAATGACACAATGTGGCTTCAAATTACGCGCGCTAGCAAATGCTTGTGCCTTCTAGATGATTTGCGATGCACGAGCCTGCGGGACCCAGCTGCGCGCGAACCGGGTTGAAAGAAAAGAAGAACGTAGAAGAAGAGGCAGAAGGCAATTTTCGAGACAATCTATCTGTGCTATAATTCTCGGGCACAAGTTCGCCCAGCCTACGTTAGCTTATTAAAAGAGTTTATTGAAAAGTGCGTTACAATATGCATGGATGCATTGTTTCCTGGGCATAATAATCGACAGAAGTCTTTCGTAGAGCCCACATCGTGCGTACTTGAAGAAGAGACTGCTATCTATTGTGCATACAATGAAATTCATGCGCGGGAAAGCATGGGGAACTTCTGTGGCCTCCACGCTACAGCTGTACAGGGCCCTATTTCTGGGTCTATTGCGCTACAGCTTGCCGGTACTAACACTTGTAAATCCAATACTCATTCGTTGGAGAGTCTGCAGGGTCAGGCACTGCGTATCTGCCTAGGACTGCCCCGATGCGCTTCTACTTATGCCACAATAATGCTTGCCAAAGACCATCCGGTCAGGACATATAGAGTTGTGGATTGCCTCAGAGCGCACATTCGACAAACTAGCCGTGTCCCCGACCACCACTTGGCCCTTCTACCCTCCGGAAGACCACGTGCTACGTTTTCAGACGTCATAGCCAAGCACCTAAACAGCATTCCATCAGGATATACGCCAGCTGCGAGAATGGCATGTCCTTTGTGGTGCCTCGACCAGCCGCAAGTACGTCTAGAAATTTCGGGAATCAAAAAGAAAAGCAATCACTCCAAAGTAGCATTGAAGCAAGCAACACTGCTATTATTACATGAGTTGTACTTAGACCGAACGCAGATATACACTGATGAGTACGTCTCGCCCAGCAGCTCATCAGGTGCCGCTGTAATTCCGGCTGCAGCAATGACAATCAAGTTTAAGTTGTCGCTTATGACTATATCTACAGCATCAGAGCTTGCTGCTATAAGGACTGCTTTACAATATCTCGTTCAAGAATGTCCAGGAAAATGGGTCATATTCTGTGATTTGAAGGCTGCACTTCAGAGTTTGCAGTCTGCCATGCGTAGGAGTCATGACCAATTGGTACAAGAAGTAAGACATTGCCATCATGAAGCTCTAGCACGAGGGCATGATAATATGTATCAATGGCTGCCTGGACATATCGGTATTACCGGAAATCAATTAGCCAATGATGCAGCCCACTCAGCCCATGAAGGAACCCGTGTAGTCCCGATTCCTCTATCAAGGAATGATGCAGCAAGACAAATTTACCTGCTGGGTCGAGATCTCACACGCACGTTCTGGTCGTCTAGCAGCTTCCAAAGGTGTCAATTTTATGAACTGGATCCTTCGCTCAAGCTAAAGCTACCATCACAACTTTCCCGCTCCGATGCGACACTGTTATGCCGCTTTTGGTTGGGTGTTGCATTTACAAAGGTGTACTCCTTTCGTATTGGTATGGCAGACACTCCTGACACTCCTACATGCGACTACTGCGGAGCTGAAGAGACCATCGAATACGTCCTGTGCAGCTGCGCTTGCTACGACACACAGAGATGCCAGCTCCGGATGGTTTTGAATCAACTTGACCCCGGACCATTTTGTGTGAAGAAGATACTAGGACCTCGGGCATCTGCCTCAGTTGCGCAGAAAGCAACTAAAGCACTGCTACTTTACCTAAAGCCAACAAACCTGAGCGACCGCCTGTAGACTGTGTGTGCTCCCCGAGTGTTCTCGTGATTGTGCGTACCTTCTCATCTCTCTGCAATCTCTTTTCTCCCCCTTTTCTCTTCTCCAGTGCAGGGTAGCGAACCGGATGTGTGCCTGGTTAACCTCCGTGCCTTTCCTTGCATATTTATCTCTCTCTCTTCACTGTTCAAGTAATCACCCTACGACAGAAATGCACTCAAGGGACGAGAAATTCTCACTCAATAGGTTTGTCAGTTGGGTGTTTCAGATGAATAACGCTTATTTTGGTGCCTTCTATTTTCATCCTCCTCCCATGAGCACATCATAAATTACGCACATGTCTTTAGGCAGAGTGGGAACGCAAATTTCACAATACGTTGAACGTGTCTATCGTGTGCATTTGTTACAGACAACCTGTTCTCTTGAGCACGAATTTAATATTATCTGTAAAATTGCTACGAACCCTTAGAGCTGTGTGCGATGTACACAAGCAAGCGGGGAGATATATAACTACACTGTAATAAGGCACGCCTCTGCATGTCTGGTGAATGCAGGGGGTTTTTCAGTTTCTGAGCATATGTCTCATTCGTTGACAAATAGAGATGTAAAAGATTTGGAGGAGACAGTGAACGTTGAGTGCACTTTATACACCCTTTCGTGATTCAGTGCTCAAAAACAAACATTTAAAACGAACTAACACCTAGCCATCAATGTACAGATTTACATAATAAACAAGGTCAGTCAAAAGCAATACTTCGTTATTTTCTTACTCACCAGTTCACACCATATCTACAGCTACTGCATGACCCCCGAATGGTAAGCACAATTTAACGCATTCCGTCCTCTTTCTTTCTATCAGCGGTGATAAGGTTTCCCAACATATCAGTATAAAAATTGTTCGAGCAGATGACCACATAACTTTTCACAAGCTGCATGGATCGCTTCTGACTCTATTCTTTTCAACACGACCACCATGACCGTGGCCGGTGTCACCGTTTTGCAGCACGGTAACAGCACTCTTCCTGTGACCCTTGGCGGAGTAGCTCCTCGCTTTCCACAAAACAGAACAGTCGCCAGTGTCCTTCGGGACCGAGGCGTAAGTGTAATTTGTGGCTGGCTGGCACAGCTCCAGCTGGATTTCATTGTTGTTGGCAGGAGGGACACACACCAAGCAGCGCGGCTTGTGGTCATCGGGTGCTTCTGCTGGAACCACGTCAGGAATCGTCTTGCGGCACGCAACTTCGGACAGGGGAATACGCGTTGACGCATGGGCGTACGTTGAATAGTTGCCCCCCTGTACCTTGCGAATCCAGCAGCAGACCTGCACAGTGTTGTGAAAAAAAAAAGAAACGTTCACTGCGAGTTTTTCTGCAACAAAAGTCATTAAAGCTCCCGACTTTATGGTAAATATCACACCTTAGCCTAACTTTCACATATTCAAGCGTGTAGCTATGACTATATTTACTTTCATACAACGGTTACCCTGGTGTTTTCGTTCATTCCCAGAGCGCTGCACACCTAAGCGCCTAACTGTCTGAGGCAGCCCGAAGTTCATATAGTTGTCCCCTATACGTGCCAGGTATTAGTGAAGCCTTGGTATGAATTCAGTGAATGTTCGATGTACACGTCACGCGTGTTCCTGCCCGTAAATTGAAACATGAGCTGGTTTCACGTGAAGGACACGCTCAAGAAAAAAAAAGTTGCCAGTTGTTGTTCTCGGAAATGAAATTTCTGAGAACAGCTGTGCAGGCTGTGTTTATGACTATGTCGGGAAGAGCAGAAATTTCCGAGAAAAACTCAAAGACTGCACCTCAAAATGTCATAAAGAACGTCGTATCCAGCACACTTGAGGAAGATGTGGCTACTTGTAACCAAAACATAGACTAGGCCGAAGCGACCAATCGTAAAAGAAAAACAAAACTGGTGTTCGGGTCAATATCTGGAATCTTCTTAATCCCTACTACGAAAAAAAAATGCTGAATAGAAATGATGACTACCACCCACCATCGCACGCCAGGTGTCTCAGCCACGTACTAAAGAAGACCTAGGAAAGCCTCAACAAGGCTTCCATACGGAAACTGAAGACATAGTTCATGTTGTTTTAAACCATTTCATTTCAGTCGCTTGCTTTCTACGTTCTGTTTTGCGTGTTGTCTCCTTTGAACCCTTTTCTTACTGTTAGCTGACCTGCTCATGGCGCATCTAATTTTCGAGTGTCGCATTTAGGTGTCACTTCGATGCTCGCACAGGTGAATTAGACCACCGGCGGCACTGGTGTTCATGGGCAAGTGAACGCTGGCGTTTTAAACGCGACACAAATTCGGCTTACGTGTAAAAGCGCGCGACCTGTGTGATGCCAACACGAGATTTTAAACGAAAACATGGACGCGTCCGTCAAACTGTTCCGCAGTTATACAGCTCTATAAGCCATCGTATCACCATCCTCAAGCCCTCATGGTGAGACCATGCACGGTGTAATTAAGCGTCCTTTGCTGCGGACATATGACATTGCTATCATTCCAGTTTGCAGACAGAGCTCAATAAACGCTAAGACAGGGGGGCATTCAAAAAAGTGTGGTCCACTAACTTGTGCGAGGATGCGCTTGAAGCTTTTGGTGTAGCTACCGTAGACGAGTGGATTCACGCACGAGTTGGACACGGCAAACATGAAGAGCGACGACTGTAGATATCCGTTGACGTGCTCGGCGCCGCTCGGGTCTATCTGGTACCACAACACCATGGTCACGTATGGTGTCCAGCACAGGAAGAAGGCGAGCACGATGATGATGGTCAGCCTCAGCGTGCGGTTTCGCGCACGGTGCATTTGTCGCATGTCCGACCGCCGCAACCTCAGCCGTCCACGCTTGCTGTCATCCCCATGGCCTTTGTTTTCACCCTCTTCACCTGCAAGGAGAGGAACGTTTTAAGATTCGTCATACCCAAGTCAGCCGACTTGACATATTGATTGTGGAGGTTTGGCGTTTTGCATCCATACCTGTTTGATTACACACTAGACACCGTCCAGATAACGCGAGTAACTGATTATAAGTACCTTGGTGTTTATTTTCCAAGAAACCTTACTTAGACTAAGCACGTTGAGTATAATACAGCGAGATACTGCACAATGTTAAACTTTGTTAAACAAAACTTCCTCTTAGTTCTTCCCAAAATGAGAGAATTACTTGATTTTTTGAACGTCAAATATACATAAGAGTGCACTTGTGTAGCTTGGGACCCAACAAGCAAGATCCTAACTAATTAATATGCTCGAGCTCGTGCAAAATCACGTTTTTTGTGTAAGTATAAGTTAAGCTGTCTATTCCTTCTTGCAATAAGGTCTTCGGGTGCTGCAGATACTTGAATTAATAAATGAGTGACTGAATAAACAATAAATAAATAAATAAATAAACTTGAATATAGTTATGTGAGACGCCATAGTGGACGGCTCCGAAAATATTGGCCACCTGGGGTTCTTTTTTTTTCATTGCGACAAAGACTTGCCTTTAGGGCATAATATTTTTGTGTTAAGTGTGTGCTGTTAGGCCGGTGTTGTGTATGAAGCAAAGTAGTGTCTCGTGGAATCTGTTTTTATGTATACAGTGGTTGTAACTGGTTTTGTCGCTGTAGCGAAGGCGGGCTTGAGCGAGGTGACGGGAGCATTCTGGCTGCAACCCTTTACATGTCAATAAAAGGTGGTGTGTATCTGCTTGCATCGCAGGAGTGGAACAATACGGACACGTATCACCAACTCGTAAATGTGACCAGTTCTATTACGATATAACGGCCGGTGTAAGGGCCACCCCAGCCCGAAGCCTCCTAAGCCCAACTTCCTCCGCTCTAGTAAGGTGAGGGGGGAGACAGCAGGCACATGATGGAATGAGAGCACATGTATCCTGCCGGAGAACATTTTTACGGCTAAAGAATAAGTTTAGGGGCTGAGGTGGAAGGGGAATGGCTGGAAGGTCTATGTCTGGAGAGCAGTGCGCCTGCTGGTCAGCAGCAATGTTGTGTGGGCTCATAGCATGGCCTTGAATCCAATGTACTTTTACGCAAGTAGCTGTATTGTGGTTCAGCTTATGAATCACCTCGCAGATCTCCATCGCCTTGTGTACTTTCTTGAGCTCTTTAATAGCTCCTAAGTAATTAGTGTATACGTCAATCTGCCTAATTGTGGGCAGCTTAGAGGTAGCAACCTGGATTGCGTCGTGGATAGCTTGAAGCTCCATCACGAGAGGCTTCCGTAGATAACGCTGGTGGCGTCTGACAAAAGTATGCGTAGTATTCAGGAATGATGTCCTCTCGCCGTCTTGTAGGATAGCAGCATCTGTATATAGTTTGCAGGTATTAGTGCATGGGGCCTCGATGATGGAGCGTTCGCCAATTGTAGATGTTGTATCGGAGCGCCGTAACTTTGTTGTTTTATTAGATGTGATGGTGGTGAATTCCCAGGGAGGCATAGACTCGGGCTGGTTGTCAGTGCGAGAGCCACGTTGAAAGTGAGCATGCAACGTAGCAAGAACCGGTACAAGTTGCCTTCTAATTTCACGAGCTTTTTCTCTTTGCGTAATGAGCTCTACAGTTGTGTTAAGCTGGGCGTGCTCCTGTAAAGTTGGTATGGGAGGGATGCGAGGTAACGCTGTTATTGTGCTCATAGCATCACGGTTAATAGTCTCCAACTGTGCCAATTGAGCCAAAGTGACCTGTTGAAATTGGCCTGGTACAAAATTTTTGGCTGCAGAACTGTGCGGACGAGCTGTCAAGCTACATGTGTACGAGCTCCAGCTGCTTTCGATGTGATGCGGCGAAACAGATGAAGTGCTTTTGTGGAACTCCGTCTGACTTTTTGAAGCCGGTGCACTCCGCTGCCGGACTGGTGAATATCAAGACCTAGTATGCGGACCTCCGAAGCCTCAGGAATGGTCACCGGACCTAGTGTAAATGTAAAGTGGCACTGCTTGATTTTTTTGGCGTCCTGATTTGCTAGCTACCTAAATATAGTGTGATTTTTGGGCGGACATGTCTGCGTTCCAAGTGTAGCTCTGAAGAACATCAAGGGCTTTCTGAAGTTGTTGTGCTTGTCTTGAGACATCTTTATGTTCAGACCATAAAGCCACATTATCAGCGTATATCAGAAATCTCACGTCTGGAATTCGGTGTAGTTGCCATGCTAGAGGTATTAGAGCAATGTTGAACAGGAGAGGAGCCAAAACGGATCATTGCGGGACACCTCTATTGGACATGAAGCAACCTTCAGGATTTTCATCTACTCTATTCGCAAATGTGTGGTTGTGAAGAAAAGAGAAAATAAATTTTACTACCCACAATGGAAATCCGAGCTCGATGAGGTTGGATAAAATGCCGTCATGGTTTATGTTGTAGTAAGCTTTCGTTACGTCCGTTGATATTGGAGTGCTTACTGCGTGGCCATGTGGAGAAACTTGTAAAATGTCATCCGACAAGATAGAAAGACCGTCTTGAGTCCCCAAATGAGAATGGAAACCGATTTGAGACAGATGGTACTTCTTGTGTCATTCAAGCCACCAGGAAACACGTGTGGCCAGCATCTTTTCACCAAGTCAATGAAATTGGGCGCAAAGATTGCAGGCCATTCGGAGACTTTTCGGGTTTTAGAATTGGGACGACGACTGAGTGTTTCCAATCAGATGGAATGTCCCCATTTTCCCATACTTTATTTATAGCCTGCAGAAGTGAATCCAGAGCTTCACCTTCCATGTACTTGAAAACCTCATACGGAATACCATCTGGACCAGCCGTTGTTCCTTGGTGAGAAGTTTTAATCGCCGCTATTGGTTCGGCCATGCCGAAAGGACTGGATGTATCAGATTTGGCTCTTGGCTCAAGCTCGTCGATTTCGGGGCAGGTTGAAGATGCGCTATCATACTTTGGGAAAAATGCTCTTGCAGCCTGCTCTGCAAATTCTTGTGGGGTACTTTGCATCGGTAACCTAACGCTCGCTACAGGGTCAGGTTGCTTGTAACCGCGTTCCATCAACCCGAACGTACGCCAATGGGCTCTGTTTCCCGTGGGGTTCTTAACGTGCGTCTGAAATGAAGCACATGGACCTCTAGTATTTGACCTCTATCAAAATGTGGCCGCCACGGCTGGAATCTAATGCACTAAGCTAACTTTAAGGACACGAAGAACTTTCAAGACATTCCCGGAATGACTGCGCAAATGAATCGTGAACAGTTGCCCCTCAAGAGAGCAAACTTCTCTTAGCCTACACGTTAGTAGGTCACCCTCTGGGTGTATTGTATCATAAGAAGCAGAAATAACTGTGAGTAAAACTATAATAAACATGAATATTTTGTGTCCATTGTACTGATATGCATGAATGCGAATCTTGCTTGTGGAACTCCATTTGCTACTTCTGTACATCTTTGATGCGATGAGACAGAGAAGTAAAAGTGTGAGATCAAATTATGTCGTTAAGTCTTTCAGAGCACCATGACGCTGGCATAATACACGAGAGAGACATTTTAATACTGCACATTGTCCAAAACACATACACTCTTACAGTGACAAGAGCTTTATTTAGTAGTCAGGAGGTAAATTGTGAAGAGAGCACTAGGGCTCCTTGTCATGTCCGTGGCTCCACCTAAGATGGAACTGGGAGGTGGTAACTCTCGGTGACTGCCCGTGCCCTCTAAGCAGCCTGTAGTTTAAGAGTGATGACCGAACTTCGAAGAGCTCCGTGTCCCACTTGATCTGACTGTGCAGACAGGAGTCTACTTTGAATGGGCACAGCCAGAGCACATAATCCAGGGAGCAGCACTCGTGCCCGTATTGAGAGTAGGACTGCGGAAAGTCAGGGTCAATACGATTAAGTGCTCTCGGGTTGGGGTACGTTCGCGTTTGCAATAACCATCAGGAACGTGACCTACTGTGCCCTATTCAACTTGGGACTTGGAGGAGGGAAGGTAGTCCTACTTGATCTATAATGCGAAGTATTATAGAGGAATGTGAATAGCGGCTTTGTAGGGGCACAATCCAGGAGAAGAGCTGAGGCATCTCAATAGGCTCGGTGCATGCAATCTCATGCCAGACAATGAGCCCGCTCATTAGGGTTACACCGGGCCAGATTAACGACTTCATCGACGTGAGCCGGGAACCGAGAAGTGTGATGTTCGCCCATCTTATTGGTCGTGTTTTTGTGGAAGAATTTATGAGAAATTCTCGTTTCTTGCCCTGATATTAGTCTGGCCTTGAAAAAAAACTTGACCACCATACGTGAGATGGAGTAAATAGTTGTTGGAACTCTGGCAACACTTATGGTTAAGCATCGCAATTTTTCCACCTCCTGAGTGATGTTCGTGCAAATGAATGCCGCACTCACTGGATTTCCAAGCCAGAAATTTCATTCCGGAGTAGTTCGAGGATCACTTATCTGTTCTTCCAACACACAGCTGCTTTTTAGGCTTTTAGCTTAAAAGAAAACGGGATGCAATACACACCTCTGGTGCATCAGAGTAGTGTTTATTACTTTATAGCAGGGAAACAATTCTAGAGTATGATTGGCGTACGTTACGTTTGCGATGAATCGTATTGCTTTCTTCTGTAGGAAAGATTCTGCGCAGATTCGTTAGCGTAGTTGTTTTCTATTGCTTTTCACACACTTGGAATGCGTTTTTTATCTTTCATTCAACGTATCTATTCTCACGTTAGATAAGCCGAGCTCAAGTGTACTGCAGAAACAAGCGCTAAAAAAGTACTCACGTCACCGGCTACAATACACGGACCATCGCAGATGTTTGACAATGGTGTGCCAATGTAAAAAGAGTATGGCGTTGTAATAAAATCTGCAAGTTCTACGTCCATGTAATGGAATGAGCTAGTGTAAGACAAGAACAATTTAATATAGTGGTGTAAGGCGATCGCACTGTTGTTCCGATGGCGCAACATTCATCAGAGCTAACAAGGCCACGTCACTCTTATGTTTCACCTGATTCTACGAAAGCCATCATCGTCTCGATAGTTTATGCCACCCACGCTTAATTTAGTTAAAGTCGGGAGAATCTTCGTTTCCCGAACATTGACATCTAGCAGATGCACTGTTACTGAGAGCAGCCTGCCTGAATGGTTTTGTGCGTCTGTACCAAACGAATGACCATCAGACGTATTGACAGAGCTCTACAAACACGAGAAAACCACCCGGTTCTTGTAACGCGTTGCACAGGATGGCCCCAACTACAACGAAATGACATGGAAGCGAGAGAAAGATTAACAACGAATGGAGGCTAAAAGAAAGGAGAAGAAGTACGCAGCATTCTGAAGCCGGTGAGTAGTTAGGTAATCGGCACAGCTGAACTGACAATATACTCTCTGGTCATCTACTGGCCCCTTCTCGATATCTTCTCTTTTTCTTCCTATCAACTTTACTTCCCTGTTACCCATTCCTAAAGGTGATGAGCCTTGCCCCCATGAGAGGAAGCAGACAATAGCGTCCTTCCATTTTATTGTGCTTTCTCGAATCTTCTCTTTCTTCTAAAAAAAAAGAGCGCAAGAAGAAGGTCAACATCCATGTTTTCCGACAAAATTCTGAAAGTCCGGATGTATTTAGACGTATTTAGCACCGGGCGGATACCATTGTTTTTTCCTCGACTGGAAAAAAGTAAAACTGTCTACTTGGAACAGAAATAAAGCCTCTTTGGCTGCTGATGTCAGATGATGTTATCTATAATAACATTTTTATGTCTCCGCTACAAAAATAAGGAAGCAGTGATGTGGATATTGCACGTGCAAATGATAATAATAATAATAATAATAATAATAATAATAATAATAATAATAATAATAATAACAATAATAATAATAATAATAATATAATATAATAATAATAATATTAATTATTATTATTATTATTATTATATTATTATTATTATTATTATTATTATTATTATTATTATTATTATTATTATTATTTATTATTATTATTATTATTATTATTATTATTATTATTATTCGCACGTGCAATATCCACATCACTGCTTCTTTATCTGTTTTTTTTTGATACTTTCAACTCCACTCATGTTGTTTTTATTGTTCTTTTCATTATTATTAGTTTCTCACCATTACGCTTGTCTTCCCTAGATAAAGTGTCTTTCTTAGAGGCATTTCGAATAATCATTCTCATGCCCGCCTCGGTGGTGTGGTGGTTACGGTGCTCGGCTCTCGCTCCGAAAGTTTCGGGTTCGATCCCTGTCGCAGTGGTCGCATTTTGGTGGAAGCGGAACACTATATAGAAGCCCGTGCGCTGTGCGATGTCAGTGCACGGTAAAGAAGACCAGCTCTTCAAATTTTCGGAGCCGTCAAATACAGCGTCTCTCGTAATTGAACCGCGGTTTTGGGACTAACTCTTCAGGTATTATTACTTTGGTAATCATTATTACAACTAGTTCATTTATTATGCTATGAAATTTTATCTGTGGCTTAGTTTCTTTTCATTTAATTTGTTTTTGATGGCAATTGCGTATTGAATGCCTTATTTGGCTTGTCAGAAAATTTCGAAGTGTTGGAGAAGTTTCTTTAATTATGTTTGAAACAAAATAGTGTACACGAACACATGTGCAACTTTTGCTGGATATACTACTGAAAATGTGCAGATAGCAGGCTAAACCACGTTCAGTAGTCAAAATTTTAACTATCCCGCACAGCGGTAACTTTTCTGGATGTCAGCGGCGAGTGCCACATGATGGAACGAAATGGCAAAAAAAATGATTTTTGGCCTTGTGCTTTGTGGGCATGTCCTTGCCCTCAGGCTTTTTGGCCCCCTGATTCAGTCATACGGCGAAGATACAAACAGAAGATAACGACTCACGCACTGGGTACATACACGGATGATTGCACAAATTATTGTATGTTGTATTGACAAACACATTTTGTTCGCTTTATAAGGAAAAATTGTAATGTTTAGGCCTAATTCCGCATTGTTTTGTCCTGGTAAGCTTTGCTCTGCTGGCGAAATTGTTCAATGCAGGTCGTTCTTGTGAACATGTGATAACAAACCTTCGAAGTCACTTGGTTTGCTGACTGAACAATTTATTTTCATTCTTTGTCCAAGCAACGACCCACCTATGCATGACAGGACGAGGGCTTTACAGTGTCAGTGTTCATAAACAAGAAACACACGCGTTAATACCTATACCCCACCCCCCACTCTCAAGAACTTTTCTAAAACCTATTCGCAACACCATAAAACACTCCGTGGGCTGACAACACTCCTCGGAAAAACAAAGATGGCTACGCAATTATCAGGCTCCATGCTGCACTTTTGCTTGGCGCTTTGCTGAAGTTTCTTGATTGTGGCGTCGGATCGCGTTGCTTCGTCGAAAAGAAAAAGTGCTGGCCGCGATCTGCGTCATTGTAATCGGCATAAAGAATTTCACTGGCGAAACAGCGTAAATAGTTGCACTGTGCGGAAAAAAAATGGAGCTTTTCAGCGAACCGCATCAGACTTCAAGTTGATGAACTTGTACAGCGAGCTCACGGTTGGAAAAGGCAACTGCTCATGTGTAGCGGACCTCTCTGAAAGGCGCTAAGCACTTTTTCGCTGCATTACTCCATTGCGTCATGCAATTCCTTATCAGTTTTGAGGTACCTATACGCTATGACTCGTGCTGCCAATTGCATTTATCTCATTGAGTTATACTGTCTCGTCAAAAGCTGAATACGTGTGACATTAACTTGTTTAAAGAACGAAGATATGCCTGAGGAAGTTCATCTTGAGGTAAAGCAAATTGTAGTTTCCATTGCAATAGGAGTGCCGCTTTCTTCCCGTTCACAGATCCATGTTAATTTATAGGTTTCTAAAGAATAAATAATAAATAATATGCTTCCGAACACTTAATTGTTCATGTTGGCAGTAGTTGATTTTCAAAGCTGGTCTATGTACGCACACTAAGCGCACTACATATGCACGTAAATGGTGCCTATACGCACGAACATATATACTACCGGGCGTTCGCGTGCGTGTATTAGACACATACGAAATAAAAAATGTTCGGGGGAGGATTACAGCAGCTTAATTCGAAAATGGGTGGCTCTATGACTTGAACAGAAAAAAAACATATGCGAAAAGTGCAGACAGACGGTCACGCAACAAATTTGCTAAAGCGCTTACTTATATAAATGAGACTATACTTCAGGCTTAGAGAAGCCCGAATATTGATCATAATGCACACACGCTAAATTAGGTTTATTAATAATAATAATATTATTATTATTATTAGTATTATTATATTTATTATTATTATTATTATTATTATTATTATTATTATTATTATTATTATTATTATTATTATTATTATTATTATTATTATTATTATTATTATTATTATTATTATTATTATTATTATTGATTTGATCAAGCTACCGCAGTGTCCGTCATCGTCTTTTCAATGCGTAAATTTCTTATTTGCGTCGTTCTCCGTCGTGTGTCATCTAAATTCATCAGGAAATGATAGAAGAATACGTTGCCATATTTCCACCATCATACCACGCATTGCGGCACACTACAATTGCCTCTGGACATCGCTTTTCTTTTATTTTTCGGGCTTGCACATGTGGCATCGCGCAAAGAAGAGAACTATGCAGCCGCTTCTCAACGCGCGCCACCTGCTAACATGTATTCTTTCAAGGTTGACCATGTTAGCGCTTTTTCGAGGCGCGGTCGCCAGGGGCCGAGTGCCCTGTTGGAGTCGCAAATCTGACGCTACCGGAGAAGAGCATTCGTCTCCAGCTTGCGCTAAAGCTCTTGCCTTGACGATAACCAGCCCAGTTATCGCATTAGATGCTAGCATCGTCATTATTTGGGTCAGGTGAAAGTTATAGCTGCATACGGTCCTTCTGTTTTCTCGTTCGTAACAGGATCTTGCCATCACCGCGACTGCCGTGTTGATATTATGGTGATTGATTTCATAAGATGTCCCTTTGTCGATAGGTAAAATGATATTTCGTGACAGATAGCTGGTGGATACCAATCTACAGTTAACGTTTGACATTCGCCAAATCACGTAGACGAAGAAGTGCTAATGGGATTATGCCATAGACCACCTTGGTTTAAGGAAGCTTTCCAGTTAGTGGCCTAGGAGAGATTTGCAGTGGAGAGCTTTAAGAGATTATATATATATATATATATATATATATATATATATATATATATATATATATATATATATATATATATATATATATATATATATATATATATATATATAGAGAGAATTACAATGTTTGTGGCATTCTTGTCCGTTAATAGAGCACTAAAAATTTGTGTTGTTTTCACAGCGTACGTTTACGTAGCTGATGAATTCTCTTGTCTTGGTTATGTTATGTAGTAGTCTTGTAACATCGGTGAGGATATACGGACGTGTAATTGTCGATTAGGTTGTCTTGACCGTTAAGTTGTTGTTTGATAATAAATCATCCATGATGTATGACTTCAGCACTTCGTACAAGCGTACATTACTCTTCTTTAAGCTTCATAGTTTACGGTGTTCCTCAAATTGTACTCTCTATATCAAATGAAACCCCAACAGCAGCGAGCCTTCGCTATAGTATAGTGCGCGCCTTCCACTTATTACCATTGAGAGGCACGCATATATGCGCCGAGCTGTCTAACAAGATGCGCGCTCCTGTCGGTTGTGGTAACTGCATGGACGGTGTGCGCTATGCCATCGCGAAGGCTTGGCGCTTTTCGGTTTCATTTGACGCACATAGTATGTACATTGGATGCGCTGCATACTGCTTATGCTTCGATATCTTGGACCCATAGGTTATGCTCGACTTTTCTAAGCCCCAGATAGGGAGAATAGGCGGTGCCTTGTTTGTGCGCCATCATCGTGTGAATAAAGAAAGCAACTTGCCTTGCCCCTCCTTGGATTGGCGCTGGATTTCCCAGAAGATGCGGGTGTAGCAAAGCACAATCACGGCTAGCGGCACGATGTAGAGCACCAGCAGGCAGAGCAGGTTGTACGCCTTCTCGTGTGCAGGCGACGGGAAAGAGGCGAACGTGACGCACTGGTAGAAGCCTGGCTTCGCCGGATGCTCCATCACGTGGAAGATGAATGCCTGCAGAGCAACGCGGGTTACCATAAGCCAGACGTATACCCATCCAAGAAAATGTGGGAGATTGTGCAAAGTCCAGCCCGCCCGTTTGGCGTGGTGTCGTCTATCACGTCCTATAACGTCGCTATCACCGTTTTACTCACAAGCTCACCGTACAGTATTAGAGGCTTCTGATAGAAGCTGATATATTGTTGCTGGCCCCGTTAGACGTAGTCAGCAACAAGAGACGAAATGGGTTCATCGTTTGGCCGAAGTTAGGTGAGCTGCCCACGGTTGCATGCCTTGGATGGTCTTAAATAAACGCCAATTACAGATAAGAACCCGCCGCCATAACATAACAGATGCGAGATGACATTTCATTATAAATGGTGGCAAGGAGCTATATCGATTAGTCTGCAGAACACAAAATGGTGGTATAACTTTCCAGAGCAGAGTTTACATTGATTCTAAATCTAAAGGCTCCACAAGGAAGGGGAAGAGGAGGAAAAAACTAAGTTAAGGGAGGGTAGCCGATTTTCATACCGGTTAGCTACCTTGTCATGAAGATGCGGAATATAGATCTTGAAAAGAGTAAAGAAAAAGTTATCAATATCAATATACAGAGCACAGGAAAAGGTACAATATTTTTATAAAGTCGTAGTTTTTTTTTTGTTTACAATGATAAGGTCTTCCTTTACTATAATCAGTGCCTCACATATTTTGGCGTGTTTTGACTGAGTCAAAGGACAAGACTTCTGACATCAAAAACAAGCCGCCAAACTCCTTTTCACAAACCATGCCCACCTGAGTTCGCGGCTTCCAGTGAATGTTTCTAAAATTGAAACTGGTAGTTTTGGTAGTTTTCATAGTTCTGTAGCTTTGAAAAAAGTATTTTAGCCACTTAAAGGCACATCGAGAAGTTTTACCGTACTCGAGTGTCATTGACCGAGTCTACCGAGTGACATCGACCGAGTAGACTTGCCTTATCTGTGAAACGCCCATATAGACGCGGTTCTGTGGATTTATTTCAGTTTAGTTGCACTTTTGTTCATGTCGTGGTGGCAAAGAATACCCATACGTCGACAAGTCAAAGAAAATGTTCAATTAAAAATTGACATGCTTCGGCTACTAACAGGAACGAGACCGGGAAACTCGCGAAGGCACATTATCGAATAAAATTGTTCCCACTCTGCACCATCAAAATGACAAAATGTTACCTTTAGTGACAATGGCTACGTATTGATTCATAAAGAGTATGTACAAAACGTGTTTGCGAGTGAGTGTGTCGGTACAAATTGTGGAGGAACCATCGCAATCGTCAAGAACACAGGAGATTGTCTTTCTTGGAACACAAGCCCTCAGCACTGTCACCTCTTGAACTGTCATACGAAAGCCGTGTGTTTATACCTGGTCAGGGCATATTCTAAGTACGAAGCAGCTTATTGTCGAAGCTTGTTCTTTGTCCATATTCATAACTCCGCTATTATTTGGAGCGCCCACTAGATGGCTCTACGGTAGTGCACTCGTGCTACTCCGGTGAGTGCTCTGAAAACGCTGGACCGCTAGCGGCACTGCACTCCTCTTTATAGGAAAATAGCTTACTTCTCTCTCTCAATAATAATATAAGGTGTTTGTTGTCCCCAACACTTCAATATGATTGAGACGCCGTAGCAGAGGGCACCGGAAATTTGGACCACCTGCGTTTTTCCAACGTGCACACATACCTAACCAGTATTTTCGCCTCCATTTAAAGTGCAGCCGCCGTATCTCTATCTCTCTCTCTCTCTTCCAAACACAACGTATTTTTATGAGGGAAAACATGAGCAGTAAATACGGCGGAGGCGGAGGCATCATCATCATCAGCCTGACTACGCCCACTGCATGGCAAAGGACTTTCCCAGGATACGCCAATACCCGATCTTGTGCTTTCTGCTGCCACGTCACACCTGCTAACTTTTTAATCTCATTGACTTGCCTGACTCTCTGTCTCCCTTTCGTGCGTTTGCCTTCTCTGGGAATCCACTCAGTTACCCTACCTACAATGGCCAGTGGTCATCCTGCCTACGTGGTATGTCTCCGGCCCATATCCTTAACGCCTGTTTGTCCCCTGACCCACTCTGCTCTCTTCTTATCACTCAATGTTACACCTAGCATTTTTCTTTCAATTGCTCACTGCGTCGTCTTCGATTTAAGCTGAACCGTCTTTGTAAGCCTCCAGATTTCTGCTCCGTAAGTAAGTACCGGCAACACCTCCTAGAAGATGTATGCCTGGAACTGCGAGCATGCGATCTCGGAGGGTATACGTCCTGCCGCATGTTGCGACCACCCGCCGCGTGTGAACGCTCGCCACCGTACCGCTAAGTCACGTGATATTACCGTACTGCTCTGTCACGTGACCTCACAGCTGCTCGAAGGCAACTGTGAGGACATTGCTGTGTTCGCAGGGGACAGCTGCCAGAGGCGCCTACCTTCGTACCGGAGATGGAAGGCAAAATCAGAGGGTAGGGCAGCACGTTCGCTGCTCACGTTCCAGGCATAATTTTTTTAGTAGGCGTTGGTGCCGGTAACATCTAGCTGTTATATACCTTCCTCTTGAGGATTAGTGGCAGGTTACTATTCATGATGCTGGAGGGAAGGGCTCGCAAAGCGGATGTGCACGCATCCAAGAACGTCTATGGTGATGAATAAAGAGCACTTTTTTATAGAACTTACAGTCCATTCGTGGCTGCTTCGGATACTACGCATGGTTCCTTCTACGGGAAGATGTGAGCAATTTTTGTCTTCAAGTTTTTTTTTCTTCACTTTCTTTGCCACAAGGTCTTGTTCATATTGATGGCATACCTTTGTGACATATACGCGATGAACTTCTTAGTAGACTCTGGCATCAAAATTTTCCGGTTAAAAGGTTAAGGAACGACAGACTGCACATCGAGCTCGTTCAACGTTTTCAGAACCAATTCGTTCGGCACGCTCACACGATGCTTCGCTTGCCGCCATTTCTACGACAGGGGAGAGTGTCAGGTCATTATTTAGCATTTCATCTTTGTTGCGTAAGGCAGGGAGCGTAGCTTAATCCCGTGGCAGACTGATGGAGAGGCCGAGTGGCAGGAGAGCGCGCTGTGAGGTTACAAGAGACTGAAAAAGGGCCGAGCTTTGGTGAGACTTACTGGAAACTAATCTCCCGCGTTTACTGCAGGTGGTCTTATGAAAGGGGAAGAAGGGGGATCGGTCAGTGAGCAAGGGTCACCTTACCGGCATGGTTTTGCCGTGTTAGTGGGAACAAACAGGCATTGAGGAGGCCTAGCTTCGCCCAGAGACTTGTATGGAAACCTTTACCGCACTAGTGTTCTTCCACGCCACCAGGCGCGTGGAAGAACACAACTACTTTGATTCACACAAGTACTTTGATCATTGGGAACCTTTGACGCACACAACTACTTTGATTCTTGAGAACCTGTCAGAGAAATACTGTGAGTGCACCATTATAATGTATGCGGGGGAGCATTGATGAATCGTTGAATGTAAAACTGTATTCAGGTCCTGAAGGGGGAGCATGAAACAATTTTTCTAGGTTTCTACAGTTACTGACAAAATTGCTCGATTTTTGAATAGCACAATAATCAACTGCAGCTTTAATTCAATCGCTTCATTTGTTTTTTTTATTTTTTTCATTTCTATACCCAATAACACTAGTTGTGGACAATCGACACACCGGCTCCAGTTAGCTGCTACAATCCCGGCCAAATTTTATCGACTTAAACTCACATTTTATTTTAACACAATGGCGTTAAAGGGCTCGCCTCGCGTAAGTTACGCTTTCGGCATAGTTGATTGTGAGTAAAAAATCAGCGTTGCCTCTGAAAAAATAAAATAGTTACAATAAATATATGATTTCATTTCATGCACGATTTCCACCAAAGAGACAGGTCATTGTATGAAACTCTTGCGGAAAAAAACGTTATGTGAAGGCTAAGTAGTTAGAGGAGTCTCCCCAACTCATGTAATATTGCGCGGTAGAAGCGTAGCATTGCGCCAGGCGTCATAACCTATGAATTGAGTAAATGAAAATGGGTGTTTTAGAGGCGGCCCGCTCATTACAAGGCGCTGAACATATTTAATTCTCTTCAACAGCAAAAACATCAACATGACGACAAGTTGCCTTTATGTTCGCGTGTCGCCCCGCTGCGGTGGTCTAGTGGCTAAGGTACTCGGCTGCTGACCCGCAGGGCGCGGGTTCAAATCCCGGCTGCGGCGGCTGCATTTCCGATGGAGGCGGAAATGTTGTAGGCCCGTGTGCTCAGATTTGGGTGCACGTTGAAGAACCCCACGGTGTCTAAATTTCCGGAGCCCTCCACTACGGCGTCTCTCATAATCATATAGTGGCATCGGGACGTTAAGCCCCACATATCAATCATTATGTTCGCGTGTTGCCTTACGGACGCGTACAGGCCCCTTCGCTGATTCGCAAAAAAGGATTATGGTGTATTGTGTACCATTATCAATTACCATTATTATGTAATGCTACTCGCACTAAGAATTCTAGGATAGTTTCAAGTGACCAATGTAAAGCGCAGGGACGTTCATTCGCTTGCAGCACAGTTGAGGCATTCACCGAGAGCTGAAGATAGGCTGGCAATTATGAAAGCAATTAGCACGAGGCCAATAACACTTTCGCGGTCTACTTTGAAGGTGAAGCTAAAGCTTGCTTCAAGCATTCTTTTTTATTTTTACTTGATGCGCGAATTCTCCATGTAAACACAGATATAGCTAAACAAAAGAGCGATGGCCACTTCCAGTTCCTGAGGTTCGCTTAGAAGCGACATTTGTAAGCTCTTATTAGAAAAACATATAAACCTAACAGCCAGAAATACAGCAAAAGCTGGACCACTAAGACAAAAACTTATTGCTATATAAAAAAATATCGTCTCCCTCTGTGCTAGGTCTTAATGGGCATGTAAACTGAAAGGGCAAGAATATCTTTCTATAAAAAAGCGAAAGTGAATAGTCAAGAAAGAAAAAGAGAA